TGAAGAATCCCAAGCTTCATATCCTCGAAACGAAAATTACCGTGATCTTTCTTTGATAATACAATACCATAGTCAAAAACATTGTAAATCCATTTTTTGCCATTTAACTCAGGCACATTAACTTTTTAATACTCAGTAATGGATGGTGCTGACTGAAGTGGACCACAAAGTCATCCATCTCGTGTGATTTATAACTACAGTGGAAGCATTTGTACCGAGGACCTGAAATACAATGTTTCGATGTGTAGTGGTAACTGGTGATAGCCATATTTTTTTCAGTTTCATTTATTGTTCACAACAAAATGATTCACATGAATGATGCAGATTGTATGTTTATTATTTTTTCATCAGCACGTCATAAACTCGACGATATAATCGGATCTCAACAGATTTTACTCAAGTAAAGTTCGGATTCTGAGATCCTTTACTCAAGATATTTTCGGATCTTTATAATATTACTCGTCGATCACATCGGGTCCGATGTCCGATAACCTCGGATCTTTTAGGACAAAGTTTAAGTGAAGATTTTGCTGTTCAAAAGTGCTATTTTGACCTAATATTTTGACACTTAATATATTATGCATATGCACATTCATTTACTGACCCAAGTATGTCTTATGTAAGGCTCATTATCAATTAAAGCGAGTATGACTGAGAAAAACAAATCGAAAACCATTATACGTTTACCTTATCTCTTAATTTGGACATAAAAATATATTTCAACTATAATTCTAGGCCAATTGCGCCTGCTAGAACATCTTGGTAACAACTCTAACCATCCAAAGGAATTGTTAGTGACATTATATTACCTTTATAGTCCATTTTCCTACGAGATGACATTATCAAACATTTGCTCGGCGGTATGTGCGTGTCTTGCTCGGCGGTAGGTTGTATATACACGGGTACTCTTTCCCCTCGTGGTGTAGATGACAGTGCATTCACAGTCTCTAGTTGATGGGGCTTTTCTATAACGGGAATATTATTTCCATTAAGTACAATTTAAAATTGATTTTAGTAAATATAATAGTTCGACATGACCCTTTAAACTATACGTATACGTATAAGTTGTACTTTCACTTATGTGCGAAATCTCTCTATTACCTTTTAAATAACCCCATAAATAGAGATTATCTTATTGAAATGACAAGTGAGCCAGGTAATTCTATCATTGGAAGTGTGAGAAGTAGCTTCACTGATCTTGTGGCCTCTTGTCAGCCTTTATGTCTCCTTTTTTGTGGCCTCTTGTCAGCCTTTATGTCTCCTTAGAACTGCCCAGAACTTAGAACTTCCCGGGAACGCCAATATAGCGCTCCGTGTTATCAGTAACAGTGTTGCCATTGTCATTCTCAAACCAAAAGGGGCCAAAGATCCCATGTTTGGAAATTGCAGCCCGAGCCGTGCATTTAACAGAATGAAGGGGCCTTTAAAGTACTTCATCTGGAATGTGTGATCCCCAGAACACATTGTTTCTTGAGTTACATATCCATAGCCTCGACTTGAGAAAAGTATTGAAAAAATGAAGGATTGCACTTTTTTGGGCCACCCTGCATATTTTCCCTCCCCTTTCCCTTTCGTCAGTGTCTCCATGGATACACTGCACACTAAAACATGTTGATTGCAATTTTGTCAGCCCATATGTACAGGGTGGGCTAAAAAAAGTTCCACACTTTCATTTTAATCTCAATTTCTTATTTTTCATGCAGTCCCTTAAAATGGATTTGTATATACCCGAGACATATCTAAAAATGTTTTTCAGATTTGACTGTAATTTATGTAATAATGTTGCCATGACAATATGCATATGGTACGTCATGAAAAATTATTCCAAAAAGGAGGGAAATTAAAAATAATGGTAATTATACTTTTTTGTCAATATCGATGCAATAATGTAAAAAAAGTAGAGTGTTAATAAATAGTCAGACATGACAAACACCTCTTTAAACGATTAACTACTCTAATAAACCCCCGATACTACAGGTACCGTCACTTGGTCAACAAAATTTACTAAAAGTCCATAATTTTATTGTTCGAAATATTGATGATAATCAGAGGGTTTTAAGTATCACACTTCTATATATGCAGATACGTAATAAGTTAATTTATTAAATTCTAAATATATTATGATTTGTACAAGATGCCATCGTCTTCCAATTGTGCTTGAAATTCAAACTCTATTTTCAGACACGATGGTGCTCCCTCAGAAACGTCTCAAGCGACGATGGATGTTATTGCATGCTAAAGGACTTGATTTCATCCCCCTAACGTTTATCTCCTAAATAGTTGTGATCTCAATATAATGGACTAGGGTGTAGGGTGTAGGGTGAACTAGAAAAACATTTACATAGTGTTGCCATCCATTTTGTTCAAGAAATCCAACGAAGAATAACTTTTTGTTGGGTTAAATTATCACAACAACTGACGCTGCGATAAATGAATGGCGTCTAGACTAAAACTGGTCGTGCAGGAACGAGGATACCCTGCACAGATTTTAGTTATAAGAAGATGAAGCTCTCTTTTAAGAAGTGAAGTCGAACGAATGCAAAGGGTAGAGCGAGGAAGACATATTGAACATTTACTTTAAAAACAAAACAGCCAAAGACACAACTAATTATTTATAACTAACTTGTCTAGAAATTGTCGCCAATCTCTAATTCAAGAGAGTTGGCTATCATGTTATCAATACTTGTAGTCAATAGAATCTGCTTCAAACGAGTAGTTCAAAATCATGTGATACTGAATTTTGTAATTTTTTGTTTTTTAATATTATTGACAGATGCAGGCCATAATACGTATATTATTAGAATAATACTTTTTAAACAGAATAAGGGTGATACATACACTCCCCTCCATAAATTTGGCAACCTTTTCCCCCCCATTGAACTACGTGTTAAAGCCTCTTTACCTTTGAATTTAAATTTACTTAACCTGCAATGAAAATACTTAAACTATTGATGGGAACGTAATTTGATCTTAATTCCAATACCTCCAAATTTTCTCAATTTTTTTCCTCAATTACAATAGGTCGAAAATTGATGATAAATTTGATGAATTTTTGAAAATCGACATTCCCATGTTAACCAATGGGAAATGGTAGGTTTGCCGCAAGTCATATGACAGAATATCCATCCATCTGAGTCCTTGCAAAAAATACGAGTTAGACAGGCAATTGAATTTGCTAACTTTATTTAACAAAAAATTGATATGTTTCTTCAGGTTCAACAAAGTTATAGGGCTTTAAAGTCAAAATTGTTTTTCAAAAAACTTCTCCCATTGAAATAACACAGGAGGCGAAAAATTATTTTCAAAAATGACTTTGAAGCGCTGTAACTTTAATATTCATCAAATAAACTAAACACTTAGTGTTCAAAAAAGTTAGACAATTCAATTTTCTATATAAAAATATTTTTTGCTGAATCTTTTACTGAAAATATATCCTGATTTCTGATTTGCCCCGAACCCTCCATTTTCCATTGGATTACATGGGAATGACGATTTTCAAAAATTCATCAAATTTATCATCAATTTTCGACCTATTGTAATTGAGAAAAAAATTGAGAAAATTTGGAGGTATTGGAAATAAAGTCAAGTTACGTTTCCATCAAGATTTTAAGTTATTTCATCGCCGGTTAGGTAAATAAAAATTCAAACGTAAAGAGGCTTTAACACGTAGTTCAATGGGGAAAAAAGGTTGCCAAACTTATGGAGGGGAGTGTATAACTTTAAGAATGTTACTCTTTATGCAATGGTGATTCATCCCCGTTTTGGTACTTGTACTCTAATATGAACTATGCATTTGAAAATATCTAGCTCCCATGCATGTATTTATGGTTTGGATTATGCCAATGATTGTCTGAAACTGTGATGCTTTTTGCAACCAGAATAATACTACAAACAATTATAATCAATTCAATTATGACACGAATTCTCAACATTGGTAGTCATTTATGGAGATTAAAGAAAGAATCAGATCTTTAGAGAGTGAGAAAATGTTAAAATGTTAAACTGACCGACCAATATAATCTTTACAATCTCAAACATAAAATCTCAAAAAAGATCCCCGATAGGTTATCAAATTGGAAATATATTTTAGAAAATAGACATGACAATGTATATGATATGAGCCTAAATCCTGTAACTGGAGTTTTTCTTGTTAGCGGTTGCGCAGGCCCGCCGTAGCCAGGTTGCTTAAACCCCCGACCCCTCCCCTGGCCAAAAATTCTTTCAAAATCATGCAGTTTTTCAACATTCTGACCACTTTCAAGTGATTTTGGCCATTTTTGGCTCATATTTGTGAACCCCCTGGATTTTTTCAACAAGTAAACCCTCCTAGGCAAATCCTGGCTACGGGCATGTTGCTCACTAGATCTGATGCAACCTTTAAAGTAAATGCTTGATTTTTAATTTGTATTCATTGACATCTACTACTATCTTTAATCAAACCATGTAGACATTGTTTGCCACGTTACTGTATACTGTATCATACAAAAGGACATGCTCAGTTTCAAAATCTAAACATGACATTTTCATTTGATATTTGAAGAGGAGTTGATTCCTTAATTGTTTTAACATTTTGCTGCAACAAATGAAATGTCAAAAATTTATTAATAACAGATAATGCAGTGAATAATCGTATTGGCCGCTGAAATGAAGTCAGTACTAGTATCACTGCATGTCAAGACTGAGTACAAACTCATAATTCGCCGTGGACTAGGGTGGATAATCACCATTATGGCCCCGATTATGGCTCCACCTATTGCTCTAGTCAATAAAGTAACATATAAGCCTTTCTAGTCAATAAAGTAACATATAAGCCTTTTGAATTAGTACTAAAACCCTGAGAACATGCCTCGCAGGTCTGCAGGTGGTAATGACTTAATAATTTGTCGAAAATATTAAATTCCACGGATCCAATCACTATTAATAAGATGAAAAACACACAATGCATTATTTATTTGAATACATCCGGGGTAAAACTCTAATTGTATATAAAAGCCCATGATTGTCAACGTCGAATCATTCTCATCATCGAAGAAAGCGCAAACAGCAACCATGAAGAAAACTCTGACTTTGACATGCGCAATTTTGCTTCTCAGCATCTGCCAGGGAGTCATTCGTCGCGAACCCGGTGAGTTTTTTATAATATAAATGTAGTTAGAATAAGATTAGCCTGGTTACAATACATCTCTTAAAATCATATTGTGTCATTTTGAATCTAGTAGCAAGGGCAAATGATTTGGGTGAGATGAATTGAAAATAATTAGGTTCACTACAAAATAAGTTAAAATATAAAATGATGTTAATGATGTGAAGTGAAAGATTGGAAGACTAGCACTGTATCATAGGGTGCGCCATATAATAAAATAAAAATTATGATACGGACTGAATCAACTCATTTCTAATAAACCGTAGATAACCATTAATTTGATAAGAATAATTCCAGGTACATCAAATTTTACAGTTAAGAGAATATTTTTTGATTTGATATTTTTAGATTTTTGTCCTTTGTCCTCAAAAAAGAATGAAACATGCGATACTAATAACTGCGCCATCTTTGATCTGTGATCATACATCTTTCATCCTAGGTTCTTGTGAGAAGATGATGATGGAAGCTGTTGAAAGTGTTGCAAAACAGGAAGGCAAGACTATCTGTCAGTACAACAAAGTAAGTCGTTTTATGCATTTATGAAAAATTGAAAGACAACTTGTTGTACACCCACAAATAGGTCAAGTTACGAGTTAATTTGGCTCGAAACTGTGGTAAAGATTTGTAATCTGGCTCGAAACCGTAGCAAAGATTCCAGTTTTAGAATACGCTGGCGGTTAGGAATTAAAATCTAGAAAGTCATCCATGTTGTTACTTTGACGATATCCTGTCATATTGTAGGATGTGTTGAATGCATATCGCCCAGTACTATCAACTTGTGAGGATCCATCAACACCACTGACACAAGAATGGCTGATGTCAGGTATCTTGGATATTGAACTAGGTGAAAAGCAAGAAGCCAACTGCGACATTGACACTTCAGTGTTACACCCTTTCCTCACTACAGGTAAAATATGATCGACTATTAACCCTTGACTAGTAACTGACCACAACACAGTTTCATATTGGCAATGTTGACCAATCACAATTGATATAATAGAGACAATTGGGTATTTTTATGGTTATCTAGCATTGCACCTATATATTTTGTGGTTTGCTTTGTCGACTTCTGTTCACATATATATTTTGTTTTGATATACTTTGATATTAATTATTTTCTAATGCTTTTCTGTTACAGAGAATAAAGCGAAAGTAGTTGGAGCCATGATCAGCATCTAGAAGGTAGGCTAATCAGTGTTACGAAACATATGGATGCAGAAGCAATCGAAACTAGCAATCCGCTATATTATTTTTCATGATAGTAAACCAAAAAGGGCAAGATTGTTTAACATCAATGAACTGCAGTGAAGAACCTATAAAATACAAATATAAAACGCCACTCGGACTTTTATATGGGAAGAATTAATTTTCATGAATCCATTTTACATAAAAGTATATACTTCATGTTATGTTATAACGTTAAAATTTAACGTTTAAATTTTCAGTTCATTATAATTACGACGAGGTTGGAACAAAGCTGATCTTGATTTGAAATTGTATAACAGTTTTGCCTGTGACCCTTCTATTATACACCGATACATCATTTTTGTAAAGGGAAAATAGAATGTCGGTGGGGGCTTCTAGAGAATTAATGTAAGACTAATTAAATTCTAGCAGCATTCTTTAACAATATCCAGTTCAGAAATACTATACATTGCTTACATATTTTGTTTCAGATGTCCCTAGTGCTATGTTAACATGCCTTCATGATCCTATGATGCAATCAGAGAAAAATATACTTACAGTGCTTCACGAAAAGAAGCTCGGTGCTTGCATGGCCGGACTTGCTGCATGGAGTAGTAAGTCTTTTCAAATTTTTCGTTCAGCGCAACGCAAAAAAGCTCTTGGCTAAAATCGATGGATTTACACTCGCTTGTAAAACGTTTTAACGCTAAGACGTCTTGGCTATGACTAGGGTCCCAAAACGTTTTAGCTAAGCCCTCTTAGCCAAGAGCTCTTGAGAAAATCTGGATTTACATTACATTTGTAAAACGTTTTAACGCTAAAACATTTTACCCAAGACATCTTAGGGCTCTAGTGTAAATCCAACGATTATAAGGATTTCAGCAAGGGCGTATTGACTTAAGAGGGATATCATCATATTATCCCGAGGATAGATACAAAATGCTCATTACTTAACGGAGGACCTTTTCATATTTTTGTTTGGTTCTTTATTTATATATAATGCACATATAAATGATACTTACAACTGTTTAGGTATGCCCTACAAGGTGGTAAAATGTACAAAAGCAGCCGGAGCTACAGTAAGCTGTAAAGATGAGAGAGGCCTGTACCAACCGTTAGTACCCTGAACATCAACTTATACACAAAATTGATAGCCGACTTCCCAGAAGAGTGCAAAATGTAAACCAATCATAAGATTGACGGAACAAAGATGAGTCCAGGCAGATGTCAATCGATTTAATGTATACTACATGAGATTCATTTGAAAGAATAAATCCTTAAGTGATTGTATACTAAACAATGGTTTTTGATAGTGTCTGTATTGTTATTTGATAGCCAATTTCTAGTTAAGATTAATATGAATACAGCTTATGTCCGGGCTTATGTTAAGACAAAGGACTTTCATATCATGGACTTTCAAGAGAGGTAGGCAATCATGTAGGCCTTTAAATCATGTGTAACAAGTCCCTGGCATATTAGATGGCGCAAAATGGCAAAAAAACTTTTCTAGGTTCAAATAAAGAATGCAGTGGTATACAACACTAAATTTCTCTACTGACTTTTCCTGATACAGTATACATTTATGAAGATTTCAATTATTGAACAATGGATAGTATTTTATTAAAAATTATTTAAAGTGGCCAAACCCATAAATATATTGGAAAGGGGTATATTTTATAATTTTTAGAATGAATATACACATATACATCAATATAAACCAAATTAATAAAATCAAAACATCTACAAAGGTAGCTAGACACTGTGATGATATGATAGTCGAAAATGGTGCTTTATATATGTAATAGAATGTACAATTCTAGGTTTTTATTCCCCTAACTGACTCCACTAACGATATTCTGCACAACATCAGAAATGGCGATAATAAAACGCAGGCACGCAGCATCGTTACTAATCCTTTTGACACCTATTGTGTATTTGTGCCTCTGTTATTTTTCTAGCTCGAGCCAGAGATAAATAACATGACACTTTTTGGTGCAAAAATCAAGGTGATGGGGGTAGTAGGGTAACGTTATGATAGTCGTAAGTTGATGCAAATAAAAATGAAATTCATAAAATATTGTTTCTAATACTGTAGAAGCAAAGTGACCATTATTGCTCTGTTCGATAAATAATTAACATATTGAATTAAAACGTTTCTGTACCCCGAACGACCGAAGTTGTTTTCAATCTGTTTACTTATCTCCTGGCCCCGACTTTTTTATTGACATTTCGGCCTATTTTATTGGTTTCACGCATATCTACTACATTGATAATTATTGAAATTAATTTTATATTGCCCAGAAACAAAAAAATCACAGCGGATATCCATATAAAAAATTTAATTTTGAGAAAAGAACGAAACAGCCTGAACTGACCATTGAGTGCACTTAACGAAACACTAGTACAGAGCTGGGGCATTGATCTCGAATATAACCCAGCTGAAGCATTGACTCTGTTCACAGTTTAGAGAAGGCGTGAATACAGTCATGTTCGAATTCCCTTTAAAACATGCTTTATTCAATGAAGATCAAGCCACCATTGACTATGGTTAAATACAATTAATTCTCCAACTCTTTTTAGTGAAAACTGTTCTAAAAAAATAGATGAATACCTTTGACATTCATTTTTGCATGTTCCTGAATGTTAACGCAAACTGAAGTAACAGAATTATGACGATAATCCGATCCAAAATAATTTGATTTATATGCCGTTTGCTAGGTGGTCTCTAGGTAAAATCATCAACCAACATTATATTGGAATAATTCCGAGTCAAGTCTTCATTAAACACTGATCGGTATTTGTAGTACATCTTAAAAATGAATGCTAAAAGACAACAAGTTGCTTTTGAAATTGTTGATTATTCAATTGCGCGTTTACATTGATTTCGATGGGTTTTCACGCTACCTGCTATCTTTGAAAATGCATGAGTTCAGTTCTAGAAAAACATTAACATTGTTTCATTTGAAAGGTAATTCAATATTCTTTTAGGAAATATAGCATTTTGGCGTGAGCTTTCAAATAGCTAATTGAAAGCCCATGATTTTGGCAACAAAATTTTCTTTTGAAAGAATATCAACAATTTATCACAAAAGTGTACAACCACTATGTCAAGTTGTCCTCGATTTGACCTTTGTTGACCTACCTTTTTAAAAACCAATATTTTTCTGAAGGGATAATGGTTTACAACAATACCAACATTATTGAAATCGGACAAGTAATAAAAATGACTCCCCTCCCCTTGCCGGATTTAGTGTTACAAAAAAGGTTGCAGACATTAGGGTTAGATGTAAAAACGCATGTGTATGTTATCTCATTTTATCAACGTTATCTGAAATTAGGGCATTGACAAGGCGATTGAATATATTTTAACTTAAAAATGCAACAAAGAATAGAGTGATGATTTGAGAGTTAACCGGATTTATCGGTTTCAAAATATTTGTGTGGAAATCATTCTTCTAAAGGCATAACAAGAGTTCTAACTTAGACCATTCAAAGTTAATTATACAGGGTGTCCCGAAAGTATGCCCCCCCCCCCTAGGCAGACATATTCCATTGTCCTCATAGTATGTGTCATATATCATTTTAAAGTTTATCCAAAGTTACATTGATTTACCAAGTATCATGGTTTAACTCCCAAATGGGAAAAAGTTACAGTCGTTTTAAAAGTTAGTGTTTTGTTAAAATAAAGTTCAATTTTACACCACATAACTAGTCAATGAGTCCCCCCCCCCTTGGCCATGTTAACAGCAGCAATTATTTTCAGATATGACCTTAAAAGCCCTTCAAATAGGGGTGTGGAATTTTATAACCCTCTTAAAACCTGTTAAGCCACTTTAGAAGAGTTTCCTTAGAATTTCTACCCTCACCGTTCTCTTTTTCCAACTCAATATCCATCCGATCCGAAAAAATTGCTGCTGTTAAGATGGCCCATAAGGACACATTGACTAGTGATTTGGTGTAAAATTGAACTTAATTTTGACCAAACACTAAATTTTGAAATGTCTGTAATTTTTTCACATTTGAGAGTTGAACCATGATACTTGGTGAATCAATGTAACTTTGGATAAGCTTTAAAATGATATATAACACATACTATGACGGCACTGGTATATGTCTGCCTAGGGGGGGGGGCATACTTTCGGGACACCCTGTATATGCAACTTCCTAACGAAGGTCTAAATCTTAGCAGGGTTACCCTTTGCATTCGTTCGACTTTTACTTCTTAAAAGAGAGCTTTGTCTTGTCTTGGCAGTTTATAACTAGACCCTGCGCGCAAAGGGTGGATGTTGAAAGAAAAAAACTAACAGTATTTCTGATTGGGATTTTATATTATTCTAAAACAAAAATACCATAACACATATAAAGCGAGCGTTTGATAAAGAGACACACTTTAACTTTTTAATCAAAGAACCATAAGTGATAACTGAAGCTGAAATACATGCAGTTTTAAATCTAGTAACTGCTTGTTTTATACTGAGCTCTCTATATATATATAGTGTTGACCCCTTAATTATGAGTAAAGAACCAGCAGCTATTCTTGGTATCAGGCACTTTACTAATTTTATTAAAGGTCATAAAATAACTTTTTTCCATTTCAAATGCAAGTAAATGTATCAATACACCTTTATTGAAAATTGAATACCCTCCAATTGACCAACACATACAAATATGGTAGCTTTAGTAATTGAGACATGCAAATACATTTTATGTGCAATTTTGAATGGTTTATTCAACGTTCTTAAAATATATTGAACCCTGAAACAGCATCCTTCGATTCGTTCAAAGGACTTCATTTATTACTTATTATGGAAAGAAGTGAAATACCCTTAGACCCAAGGATGTGAGAGAGCCCGGCCCTATTGAAGAAATGCAAGAAATAAGTTCATATGAACGTCATTGTGCACGAAAAATGTTCAAAAGTTTATTTTAAATGATACAATAAATGCAAATGAGCCTTTATAATACCATCTTAGAATTGCCACTTCTACATTAATAACTGTTTAGCTTTATCCATCAGGTCACTCCCATGTCAGGATGCCTCAAGGTGTAAACCCTCACCTGATTCCACATTTTTTACAGTCTGACATGTAAGGACTGACAGAAATCAATATTGAACTGAAGCTCTCCTCACCCTGTCCTGACAGGGTCTTAAGTAATTAGTACACATTCAGAATGAACTCAGGTTGAAATTACATGACCTCAATATGAAGTTGTTAGTTAGCTAAAAAATGCATAACCTGACGTTGTCCTCAAACAATTTTGTGTAGAAGCATTGGTTTTTTATATGTCCTCATTTGAACTTACTTCTCCTTGTTGGACTTAACTGTGTGTAATCTTAGCTCAATGTTACTTTTATTGACCCGATTTATTACCAGTCGAGTCCATTTTTACATTTCAAGGTCCATAATGGAACCATCCTTTATAATGGTATAGCATGTCCTTGGATAAATAGGGAAGTATGTCTCCCAATTTACTGGATCAGAAGTCAGATTGACATTTCATCTACTTTTATATGCAACCTTGGTTAAAATAAAAAAATTAAAATCTCTACTTCAGCTTGTTTATGGGGCTTTGAATAGTTTTGCGTTTTCTGATGTTGGCTTTTGTCTATTATCAGAAATATTATCAGAAATATTATCAGAAAAAAGTGTATGCAGTGGTAGAGTAGAATCAACAGTATACTAGATATAGTATATATGACCATATTTGGCTAAAGTACCTTATAAGGTTGCCTTTTGAAATAAACTATAAATACTTTATTTAAATTATGAACAGGAGAAATTAACAAAATTATAATCCAAGTTAGGGAAAATTACAATTTTTTTTATTTTGAAGTGTTAGTAGCCCCTTGCATAACACAAATATTATTCCATGATATGCACTTATACGACTTATGTGACTTATACCTTTTTATTGACTTGTTTTAGTTATTAGATCATCAACAGGATGCTGAGCTTGTTTAAATTGTAGCTCAAAGGAGGTGACCTTATGAATCCCATTATATCTGTATACAAGGTCCCTCTGCAGAAATGGAGCCCACAAATAAAATATGTAAATGGCAAACAGAAATATCAAAACGGAACCCAGAAATAAAATATGGATATATAAAAAATGCTACCAAGAAACAAAATATCAAATTGTACTCATAGATGAAATATCAAAAATTGTTCCCAGGAATAGAATATCAAAAATGGTACCCAGAAAAACAATTTTAAAAATGGGTACTCAGGAATAAATATCAAAAATGGTACCTAGAAAAATAATTCTAAAAATGGTACCCAGGAATAAAATATCAAAAATGGTACCTAGAAAAATAATTCTTACAATGGTACCCAAGAATAAAATATCAAAATTGGTACCCAGAAAATCAATTCTAAAAATGGTACCCTGAAATAAAATTTCAAAAATTTGTAACCAGAAATAAAATATCATAGTGGTGGAAAGGTAACGTGCTGTTTGAAAACACAAACAAGGAAGAAATGAGTGTCACCACCATTTGTTTACAGACACCAACAGCCGATCACCAACTGCCAGTTGCCAACCGCATCAGAAAAACCGAGACCAAAACAATATGTCAATTTTTGGTGCTGACATAAAAATCAAAGAATTTTTGGAGAGAAAATGAGTGGAACAGGCATGGCCTGAGAAACATTAATACATGTAATAAAGGGTGGGTGTAACATAGAAGTCAACTTATTTTATAAGAATATGAAGCCATCCATCCATTTACCACCAATAAAATCAAGATAACAATAATAAAAAAGTAATCATTTTAATAAATATATATTGACTAGTAATATTATAAAACATAATATGGGATGTATCATATTATATTCCATAATTATAATGGTTTTAATATCCAATTCACGCTATTGGATTATTAGCAACAATGTACATGTAACATAAATTCAAATTAAATCCACTTTGATGTGGGATAAATAAAGATACATACAAATACTGTAGATACACTTAACTTCTATCATTGATCTGGAAATAAGCATTTCAGAATCCTGTGTTCTACTTATTGTAAATCTTGGTATAGCACTAACATCTAAAGTGAAATAATTGCAAATTACAAATTAACTGAGGATATTCAAAAATTGATTGGTGGATTTTTAATTTGGCAGATTTCTTCTATCTGTCAAATTAAAACAGTAGCCAAATTAAGTGTATCACACAGTACACAAAGGGGGAAATTAAATATAATAATTTACCCTGAGTTATTTCTCAAATGCTGCCCTTTGTGGCTGAGTCATTGATATCAAGCTATAGCCACATTTTCTTTACAATGTCATACAGAAGTCAGTTTGCATTTATTACAATTTTATTGCAAATAACAAGGATGACAATCAAATAGCATATCAAATAGCAGAGGAATAAATTGCCCATCAATGGTTATGACTTTGACATATTCAAGCAAATATACATATCATCATACATCCTCTGATGTAAATGAAAAATATTCAGATATTAAAATATTGATCAATCAATACTTTCTTAGAGAAAAGTCATATTTATTTAAAAACATAATTTGCATTTTTTCAATGTACATATTTTTCACAAACTTACAAAAATGAACTGGAAACTTTCTGTTAGTCCATGTAGTCCATGATTATTCTTTATATGCCACTATTCTACCACATCAGCATACAACTGAATCCTTTAGCACACCAACTGAGGCTAATTATTACCTCAAATACAATTAGCTTGACATAAAATTGTTTCACAAAGCCACTCTTTTTTGCATCTAAATGATTAAAGATCTATTTCACATAGTTCACATAGTAAGTCGATATCATATTTTTTTCATATATCTAGTCAGTTTTGGAAAAAGTCTCAAAGCATTCTCAGTTGTTATTCTGATGACGTCTTCTACGCTTACTTTTTTAATTTTGGCAATGTATTCTGCAGAATGGAAGATGTTGGCTGGTACGTTCCTCACCTGGAAAATAAAATATGGCACACGTGAATAATATCGTACCTTAGACTCAAAAATGCCTGAAAACAATAACATACCTGTTTGTGTATCGAGTAAGATAAAAATCAGAAATAGACATGTTAGATGCATAAAGAAACAAGGCAATGGCATGCAAATCTTACCACCTGCCATTTGCTACAGATGCTGAGAGCCAAACACCAACCACCAAACACCATCCACAAAACAAGTTGGAGACTATAACAATATGTCGCCACTTCTGGTGGTCAGATAATAAAAGGTGTTGCCATGTGTTTCTCTTAAACCAATTATTGAGAACACTCTGTAAAAAACACGGTCCTTTAGGTAATTTTGACTGATTGACAACAATTTTATTACAACAATTTAATGCGAATATTTTTTATATATATTTCATATACCCCAGTAACTGTTTTTGTTAACATTTTTTTTTAGTTCAATTTTGTTCCTTATTACAAATTCTTGAGAATGAAATAAAATAACCTTGTTGGAACAAAATAGCATATACAACATTTTCCTAGACCTATCAATATTATAGTTATACAAAGGAAATTTTGGTTGATTTAACAACAAGTATTCAAAAAATTAAAACAAAAACCCCCAAAATAGATAAAAATTAAGATAAACCTTTTATTTCAAAAAAGATACTTTTTTAAATCAACCAAACTTTCCTTTATACAATTACAATATTGAGAGACCTAAACACTTTTTGTTTATGTCATTTTTTTCCAATGAGGCTCGGAAAGATGTTTCATTTCATTCTGAAAATATGATACCAAGAACAAAAGAAGTGTCTGATGTGTTTTCTAAAACAATAAAAGAGAAAAGTATACATATTTATTTCAAATTATCTTGTTACCATTCAAAAGATAACCATTAAATTGACGATGTATAAAATTTTCAGAATTTTTTGATGACTGGTTTAAGAGAAATGTATGTTGAAAAAGTTCACCATATCCATACCCATCCTTTCCTAAAAATTATTGAGAGAGTAATGCAAAATATCAAAAATCCTTCATCATGCTCTATCAGCACTCTAGTCTAGCATTCATATAAATAATCAAACTCAAAATTTAATAATCTTAATGAACAACAGACACCAGGAACTTCATCTGGCATTTAATCCAATACAAATGAAACGAGAAAAGCAGCAGCTCCACAGAGAAGCAAATTCCACCAAACAATCTTATCAAATCACTCACTTTTCAAATTGTATGACTTCATTCCATAATAAGAAAACCAGGCAGTAAAAGTGACATATTTTGGTGAAAATTATGTCATGAAAGAAAGTGGGGGCTATTTTGAATTCGAAGGTCAATTTGGAAATTGTCAGAGATCAGAGATTGTAAACCTATTGAGTTTTTTTTTATTCTAGGCTAACCAAAGTTGGGAAAGAAGCATTCAAGTATTAGCTTAAAATGTCATTTTCAGGGATGTTCTCTTAGACAGAGGTTGTAATAAAGCAGTTTTATCCTAAATATTATCCAAATTGGTAAAGAGGTATATGGATGGACAGACAGAGGGACGAGTGGCCTATTCAACAATTCCACAGACTTTGATTATTGCCAGAAATAACAATCATTGTGCATCAGCATTTTGTGAGTATAAACATGACAGATGTCCCAAGATAAAAGAACAGGTTGGATGGGGAATCATTAGTCAGGTGAAATTAAAAAGGTGAACAGGTAAATAATATGTCATTTTCTAAATCTATTAAAATAATTTGTCAAAAATATGATGAAAATACTGATATTTATTTTATTTTTAATTTTTAGAGGGCAATAGAAAGCTAGATATGGAGCCATTAAAGAGTCAGATCATTTTGGTAACGCTGTTGCTTCTTTGTTGTGGGATGGTCCATAATGTACTAGTAGAGGAGGTAGCCCAGGCCCACAATCAGTTCTCCCTAGACATCTACAACAAGCTCCTAGAGGAGGCAAGCACAGGAGGAAATGATCCAGGAAACCTCTTCTTTGGACCAATCAGTATAACAACAGCCATAGTGATTGCAATGCTGGGAACAAGTGGTCAACCAGAACAGGAAATGATATCAGCGATGAGATTGACAAGTTTTGTAGATAAGGAGCCAGGCCTTCTTCATGCAACATTCAAGGAGCTAGCTGCCCAATTGTATGTATCATCAGTCAATTGCACCCTACTTTCAGCCAATGGAATCTTTGCTGAGCAGACACACCCATTTGTTCAAAAGTACCTAGATGATGTTATGACTTATTATGATGCAGAGATTGACGAGGTTGACTTCCTGAATGCATATGAAACTGTTCGACTTGCTATTAATGAATGGGTTGAAAATAAGACTAATGACAAAATAAAAGATCTTATTCCAAAAGGAGCAGTTGATGATACCACAGCCATGGTAATTGTTAATGCTATCTACTTCAAAGGACTATGGAAAACACCATTTCTGCCTCAAAAAACTAAACATGCTTCCTTCTATGGTCCAGGTGGTTCAGATATTTGTGTTAATATGATGTACAATCTATCTAACACATTTGGGTACACTGAGAGTAAAGAACTAGACTCTAAAGTACTAAAACTACCATATGATTGTGAAGAGAACAGGAAACTAAGCATGTACGTTATACTCCCTAATGCTATGGATGGCCTGCCAGACTTGGAGGAAGCCATAGGAGATAACTATGGAAAGGTTGCCAAGCTTCTATCATCAACTAACGAACAGGAGGTTAAAGTCTGGCTTCCACGCTTCACCTTCGAATATAGCTTTAGTGTGAAAAACATCCTAAAATCATTGGGTATGCAGGCTATATTTGAACCTAATGGTATAACAGAAATGAGTCAATACAACCTGTCAGTTAGCGATGTAATACACAAGGCCTTTGTAGAAGTGAATGAAGAAGGTAAATACTATAAGTTATTGAATGATTTAAAGTGCAATACAGGATATATTCTGCTCGAGAAATTCCGTATTGGAACGAGACGAAGTCGAGTGCCAATACAGAATATCGAGACAGAATGTATCCTGTATTGCACTTCAAATCATTCAATAACGCTTTAATCGTGTGATCCTCTGTATTGATACTCAGATTGTCCCCTCCGTAACAATATTTTTTGTATTGCGACGGAGATGAGCAACGGGGACAATCTCAGTAGCAATACAGATTGGTACAGCACAAGAACTGACCAATCAGAGGGCTTCATTTTACAGATCATACGATAATATAAGTTATTGAATGATTTGAAGTGCAATGCAGGATATATTCTACTCGAGAAATTCCGTATTGGAACGAAACGAAGTCGAGTGCCAATACAGAACATAGAGACAGAATATATCCTGTATTGCACTTCAAATCATTCAATAACGTTTTTATTGTGTTATCCTCTGTATTTCTACTGAGATTGCCTCCTCCATACCAATGTTTTCTGTATTGCAACGGAGATGATCAACGGGGACAATCTCAGTAGCAATACAGATGGTCACAGCACAAGAACTGACCAATCAGAGGGCTTCATTTTACAGATCATACGATAAAAGTAAATATTATTTTCCAAATATTATATTGATCTGGTTTTGTCCCTTTTTGGCAAAATCTACATTCTTGACATGACACCATCATCATTTTAGAAATTCTGTCTGAGTAGAGGTCCAACATTTAATAACTGGTGTTTGAGTTATTCTTATCATAACAATTCTTAGTCTCTCAATAATGACTTTTTAGGTACAGAGGCTGCGGCAGCTACTGCAATAATATTAATAGAAACAACCAGTATACACATGGACCCACCAAAGAAGTTTAGAGCTGACCATCCATTCTTGTTTGTTATTGCTGATGAAAACACAAAGGCAATTCTGTTCATGGGACGTGTTGTGACACCCACAGAATGTGAAAAAACAACAACAACTACTATGAGGACCACACCCAGAACCTATCCAAGATGTGAGTTTTAAAAGCAGCATTTTTTGAGCAATATTTATGTTACATCATTTAACATTAATGAGTACATGGTAACATGTACAGATTGTAAAGTACCGGATTTTCTCGCTTCTACATTTGATTTTTGGCCCATGGGCCTAAATTTAGGGGGGCGTATATGCGAGAAAATCCGGTAAAGGTAATTTTGCTCATAGAAATTGCTTGCTAAAAGTTTTATAGCAAAATAAGTTGATCAGAAATCATGTAAAAAGATTTTTCCTATAGAAACAATTTTAATTTGTGATATTATGATTCGCTCCGCTGAACCTTACTATGTTACTATGACAACAACTACAGTGCCAAATATAAACATAGCCAAATTGAACGACTTGTATATACTGCTATGGTAGTTTCATATACTAGTACCAAGCCAAAAGCCACTTAATTATGACATCATATGTGTCATCAAAGAAACCAATCAAAAAACTAACAAAGAAGCACAAGTTATTGAGCCGAGGAATAAAAAGAGAAATTTCAATTTTAGCATGTATCATTGATGGGGTTACATACAGACACGGTCAGAGGCTACCTGAGACACGCAAATGTGGTCCAAGAAGATGCAAGTGCAAAAATGGAAAAAGAAAATGCAAAGGAGGCAAAAAAGAAGCTTATTTATGCTAATTTATTCTGTCTAAAAAGTATGCAAGGTGGGCCAAAAAGGTCAACATTTTTAATTTTGCTTGATTTCAATTAGGCTTATACCAGTGTAAACTTATTGCTTTGAATATCATTATGAAGATACAGTGCCTATCATTCTTGAGACACCTAGATTTATTTTTCCTATTTCAGGAAAAATTGTAAGAGTGATTCCCTAATCTCCTTAAAAATATCCTAAAATATATGCATTATTAAAAAGTGTCTAATGTCAAATAAAAAATTTGAATGTTTTGGCCGATCCTGTTTATAAAGAATTTCAATAAATATTTATTCTATTTATTACATATGACTTTTTAAAAGGTAAATTACCTTGAGACATTTTACATGTGGGTTTGTATGTTGAATTAATGCAAAAATATGTCTACAAGTTGTCCCACATGGCCATTTGTATATGATATGCTACAGTAAACTGCTTTGTTTGAGTGTACATGTCGTTTATCTACAAAATTAATTGAAAGGGTAATGTGGAATATCACTGAAATGTTGATATGAATGAAATATCTAAAATTCTTCACCATGCCCTATTAGCATTTTAGTTGTGGTTTTATATAAAATGCCATCCCGGTCATAACTTGCAAATGGCAAGTACATATGATATTAAATCCAGGCTTAATTAAACCAGGAACATTATTTGACATTCTACTTGAACCAACAGAAAATAACAATCACTATGCATCAGCATTTTGTTTTGTGACAGACATCTCATGCAATGCTTTAATATAAAGTACACATTGGGTGGAAGTCATTAGAAACAACTTAAGGAAACAGGTAAATATACACCTACATCTACTACATTATAATGTAATATACAATGGGGCAATTATGGTTAAGTGTTAAAAAAGCATTATTACTATCATGCAGGAATAAAATGGTACATCACTTTTTATGCTGATTAATGGGACATCATTTTTAACCTGAGCATAAAATGGGATATCACTTTTTATGATGAGCATTAATGGGACATCATTTTTAAGATGAGCATAAAATGGGATATCACTTTTTATGTTTAGCATTAAATAGGACATCACTTTTAATGCTGGGTATAAAATATGATTCATGTATAAAATATTATCAAATTGCAAAGATCAAAACATTAACAGATTGTTCTATTTATCCCGTATATATTGTATTCATATCATAGCAATTGGTAGGAGAATACAATTCTTGTTATGGAGAAATTCAAGAGTGGCACCATTAGGGTAACCCTATTGCTGCTATGCTGTGGGATAGTCCACAATTCACTAGTAGATCAGATAGCTGCTAGGCATAATAACTTCGCTATAGACATCTACAACAAGGTCCTAGAGGAAGCAAGCACGGAAGGAAATGAGGAGCCGGGAAACCTATTTTTAGGACCAATCAGTATAACAACGGCCTTAGCGATTACAATGTTGGGAACAAGTGGTAAGACAGAACAGGAAATGATAACAGCCATGAGAATGAGAACATTTGTTGAGGAGCAACCAACTCTTCTGCATCCAACATTGAAGAAGCTAGCTGACCAATTGTATGTGTCATCAGTCAATTGCACTCTCCTTTCAGCCAATGGAATCTTTGCTGAACAGACACACCCATTTGTTCAAAAGTACCTAGATGATGTTAAGACTTATTATGATGCAAAGATCGATGAGGTTGACTTCCTGAATGCATATGAAACTGTTCGACTTGCTATTAATGAATGGGTTGAAAATAAGACTAATGACAAAATAAAAGATCTTATTCCAAAAGGAGCAGTTGATGATACAACAGCCATGGTAATTGTTAATGCTATCTACTTCAAAGGACTATGGAAAACACCATTTCTGCCTGAAAAGACTAAACAAGCTTCCTTCTATGGTCCAGGTGGTTCAGGTATTTGTGTTAATATGATGTACAATTTATCTAAAACATTTGGGTTCAGCAAGAGTAAAGAACTAGATTCTAAGGTTCTGAAGTTGCCATATGATTGTGAAGCGAAAAGAAAACTAAGCATGTATGTAATTCTCCCCAATACTAAGTATGGCCTGGCCAAACTGGAGGCAGCCATAAAGGGAGATAATTATTGGAAGCTTATGAAGGTTCTATATCATGTCGAAGAAGAGGAAGTTAAAGTCTGGCTTCCACGCTTCACCTTCGAATACAGCTTTAGTGTGAAAAACATCCTTAAATCATTGGGTATGCAGGCTATATTTGAACCTAATGGTATAACAGAAATGAGTCAATACAACCTGTCAGTTAGCGATGTAATACACAAGGCCTTTGTAGAAGTGAATGAAGAAGGTAAAGTAAATTTTTTTTCAAATATTGTAAAGGGTGATCAAAGGGACACTTATGTAATACTGAACAAATATTTCACTCTATTGAGGTGAATACCTGTACATCTTTCACAAGTGATATTCCACGAAGCCCCAAGGGCAAGTGGAATATCACCTTGTGAAAGTGCTACAGGTATTCACCGAAAATAGAGTGAAATATTTGTTTTATTATGTCACTGTCTAGCTAAACATCCCTAATATTACCTTTTTGTATTGTCTGCATGTACACTCTCTAATAACATCAACTTTTCGTCTTCAGATATTTTTATGAATCTATTCGGTTCGTCTGCCATTTTGACTTACACTGAACTAAATTATTTACACTTAACGAAAACAAATTCTTTGAAAATTCCCGGGAGCGTGCGATATCTGATTAGCATTGCCATTGAATATCGCCAGATATCCCACGACAAGTGACCCAGTTTTGACCAATCCTACTGTCGCTAGCTAGATAGTGATATAATAAAAGTACATAAATTGTTACTCAAATATTGTACATGTATATGAAAATTATGATTATTATCATTTCAATAATGGCTCAAAATTTTGTTTTTATTTCAGGCACAGAGGCTTCGGCAGCTACTGCAATAACAGTCGGAACAACTAGTATAAATCTAGATCCACCAAAGAAGTTTAGAGCTGACCATCCATTCTTGTTTGTTATTGCTGATGAAAACACAAAGGCAATTCTGTTCATGGGACGTGTTGTGACACCCACAGAATGTGAAAAAACAACAACAACTACTATGAGGACCTCACCCAGAACCTATCCAAAATGTGAGTTTTGAAATATTATAGTTGCATTCTTTGGGAAATATTAAAGTTACCTCTTTTCACATCAAATTAATACATGTTCAAATGAATATACTGTACTTCTTACATAAAATAAAGAATATGTAAATGACATAATTTGCATAATACATGTATATGCATAAAAGAGCTCTAATATAGATCTATATATACAATTGCAAATTGTTTAATTGCAAATAAATTTCATTCACTTCTACAAAAATGACCAAAAATAGATTAAGGTGTTTGATTCAGGTATAGCTACAAAAGTATTTTCCCCATATACTTTCTACTAGGTGTCAAATATATACAACTGGATACAACTGAAGACCCACACATCTTAGTTAAAAAATATAGCAAATTCAAATTCAAAATTGACCACTGGCTCTGCAACCATCACTCAAATTAATTGAGTAAAAATATAATCCTATAATATTACTATCTAATTATCAAGTATTATTTTCAGGTATCTACTGCAAACCATGTTACAAGGATGGGATTAAATATCGGTTTGGTGCATATCTACCAAAAAGATGTTTTGATCGATACTGCAAGTGTGGACCAGATGGAAAGTTATGGTGTTGGGAAATTATAGAGGAAAAACTAGGTTCGCGTTAACCACGGACGTCAAGTATGTTTCTGGCAAAAGCTGGAGCATAGATTATTTAGAGGACTGGAAACAAGATGGCAGTCTATTTCAATTCTGGCAGTTCATTTTGGCCTATTTCTCACTATTGACTCAGTTGTTCATCTAGTTTTACTTACCTTAGATGCTTAGTAATCTATTTAGTATAATTTTGTTTCCAAAATTATTGTCATTTGCGATAATTAGTACTAAAAGTACTTTGAACAAATCAGCTGCCATTTGCTTGGCTTAATCGTACCAGTCCACAAAAACAGTGAAATCATATTAAAGATACCAATTAAACTTTAAAATTGAGGCAGATGCGATACAAAAAGACTCTATTAATACAGATATACAGGTTACAGTCACCAAGATGAGCTAATTTCAGGGGAGATTCGGGAAATAAAAAGGTAGGTCATTCTGGTTTCCAGTCCTCTAAATAATCTATGCTCCGGCTTTCGCCAGAAACTTACTTGACGTCCGTGGCGTTAACGCTTTTTTTCGCGTTTTTTACGCAGTTAATTTCATCTTCACGCAAAACTGCAACACATCTTACGTATCATGTACGCAAAAATCATATCCCCCAAATGTACCGATGAAATAATACCAAAAACAACCAAAAAACAAAAATTAAAAACTTAAGCACGCTCTCTAACAGCGTAACATAACGATCAATCTGATTCGTGCATAATATTTGTCTTCCGGTTATTAAGCCAATCAAAATTCTTGTAGCAAACGTATGCGGCTAAACAGGGTATAGCTGCAGAATTTTTTCCGCAGGACCATTCGTGTGAATTGATCGATTATTTTATAATCTGCACTGTACAGCCGTGAGGAATCAACTTGTTCATGGTAAATGGAGACAATCAACCCTAATATAGATGGTTACCATGTTAGATTCTTTTTAAATATTTCGAATGGCCACTTGAATCGGTGGGACTGCATTCAAATAACCACAGCTATTTAGTGCCTACCGACTGCAGCAATCTGATGCAAGCACCATACCCGGATGTCATAAGGGGATTCCCCGTCCATAGTCAAACCTCCGATGAAAAATGATAATTTCTTCGTTCTGTGCCGATTAACTTTTTTGATCGGAGATTCAATAACATAAAAGAATCCTAAAACACTCAGGAATTTATTTAGGCAGGTTATTTGTGTAAAACTCGCGTCAAAAATTGATAATAATAAGTGCCGTTCCACATCACCACACTTCAGGGTGGGCGTGGCACATCGAGAAGGCTACAGATGTTCATGACTCCTTGATTTATGTTTTTTCATGATATTATAATTTGAGCTACAGTTTAGTCTCGAGAGCTAAATTCTAAAGTTGAAAGATGAAACAATATTGGGGTGTTTGGGAGAGGGAGATTCCATGGATGGTACCTTAGCCATGGAAGGTAAGTTACAGGGACTTTGTGGAGGCCTCAGAAGAAGGTAAACAGGAACGACTTGCAATGCATTGTACATGCATTGTACCCCAAAATAATTATTTGTACCCCATTTTTTGAAGGGACCTGGGTATGAAGTACTCAAAATTACTAAGGCCTAGCGCAATTTAATAAGTAAGTTGCTGTCGCCATAAAATAATTTGAATTAAGTGATTTCTGGCATACAAACTGATGAATACTGATGTATAACTGAAAACCAAGGTTATACATTTCAGTTACTGTATTTGTCTTTCATTTGGTGAGCAGACTAATTTGGCAAAGGGGAGTTAAAAAAATCGCCAAATTAAATAATCGCCAAAATCCTGAGGAATTTGACATGTTTTTCTTTCAGCACACTTCCGGTTGTAAGAAATATAATGGATGGGGCCGTTTAAATTTAGAAATATAAGAAGACATTTTTAATGAACAACACCAATAATAAGTATCTTGATTAAATACATAGATATGAGATTTATCCCCTTTAAAATGCCAAATTAATTAGATGCCAATAGTTTGATATCTCAAAAATCGCCAATTTAACATGTTTAAGTAGCGTTAAATCAAAGACACATAGCTCTCATTATCCACACCAAGTGATTTTTGTAGTCTCATTCTCACGCCTCATTCTCAACACGTCCCACAAACGAAAGTGGACGACATGCTTTTGGCATCAAGTTTGTAAGAACTCATTTATTTCAATGTTTTGACAGAATATGAGCCTTTCTTCCTCATAGTAAAATTGCCCATGCCATGCACATATGCCTCTAGTTATTATTAGACTCCAGATTGAAAATCTGGAGTCTATTGCTTTTGCCAGTTTTCTTATTAGACTCCAGATTGAAAATCTGGAGTCTATTGTTTTTGCCTGTTTTCTTATTCTTTTTTCTTTCTTTCTTCCTCCTAACAGATTTTCTCTCCAACTATAACATCTTACTTAATCCAACCTACATGGTTGACTAGGGAATGTATCTGGCTTTCGGGGAAATTAGGTCAAATTTTTATCTAGATCATAGGTCAAGAACTAGGTCAAATCTTACATTTTCAACATTCTTCATCATATCTTCGTCAATATTCTTCGTAACTCCTTCATCTTTTTTCCATTGTGTAGCTTAGAAAAAGGCGAATCAAAGATATGACATCAGAATTTTGATTACTCTTACCGATTTTGAGATATGGCGTCCGAAATGTAGGTCACGACTAAACATCCTCCAAATTGAATGTGTGAGCTATGAAAAAGATGTAGAATTTTTCCAGGAATCCAAATCTGCAAACCAAATTTCGATCCGACTTCCTGTTCGGAAGTTATGGCATTTTGAAAGCTAAAAAACGCTAAATTTGGTGCCCCATGTTAAGTCAATGGGAAAAAAGATTTTTTTAAAGTGTAAAATACTAAATATAGACTGAATACAGCTTAAGATAATGAAAGCCTATAAACGAAGGGGACCTCAAAAGCTACCTAGCTTTAAAATTTGGACACCAAAATGCCTAGGTCAAAATCTAGGTCAAATTTATAGTTTTAACTTTTTTTTGCGATTCTGACACTACACTTTAATGATTTGCTTCCAAATTTTGTAGACAGGTAGCAAAGAGTGTGTTAATAGTGTTAACCTTTTGCCGTCAGGAAGTTTTTTGACCCACTTTTGAGATATGGTGTCCGAAAAGTAGGTCAAAATAAAAAGTTCTCCAAATTCAGCGTATGAGTTATGAATTAAGGGTAGAATTTTCTAAGGAATCCATATCTGCAAACAAAATTTCGATCCGACTTCCGGTTCGAAAGTTATGGCGTTTTGAAAGCTCAAAAATCGCTAAATTTGGTGCCCCATGTTATGTCAATGAGAAAAAGGATTTTTTTGAAATGTAAAATACCAGATATAGACTAAGTACAGCTTAGTATTCTAAAAGCCTATAAAAGGAGGGGACCTCGAAGGCTATCTAGCTTTAAAATTTGGACTTGCTTCAAAATTTTGTATACAGTTAGCAAAGAGTGTGCTTATAGTGTTAGCCTTTGCCGTCAGAAAGCTTTTTGACCCACTTTTGAGATATGGTGTCCGAAATGTAGGTCAAAATAAAAAATTCTCCAAATTTAACGTATGAGTTATGAATTAAGGGTAGAATTTTCTCAGGAATCAGAATCTTTAAAGTCCCCATCTAAAGTTTAAACCACTTTGGCTTATATTGTAGTCTTACCCAATGTTATCAAAGTGTGATATGTGAAACTTTTTTTTTAAATTTCAAAAAGTGGTTTTTGATAGACTTTTTGTTCCAAAATTTGTGAATTTGTTTAAAACTAACTTTTAGAGGTCACACATATCTTTTAATTAGCAACAACTCATACCAATGCATAGCATTCATCCTCACATGTTTTTTGCCGAAAAAATTAAGAAAATCGGTTCATAAATAAGCGAGAAATGAACTTATCAGTGCATGAAAATGGTTCCGAGAAAATGCATTTAAAAATTCTAGTTCTCATAGAAACCAATGGTACAATGATATCTAAAACATAATATATTCTTCCTTTTAACCTGGTTAGACAATCAACATTGGTATATTATTGAAGTCTAGCATAATTAGAAAAGATTGACGTCGAAAAAAAAAATTCAATTTTTTTCAAAAAGTTTTTGGTACCTTAGTGACATCACTAATGGTGCAAAATATTTTTGATATGCTAAAACATTGAAGTGGCCCATTAAATATGGCATTTTATTATTGAAATAGTGTGTCCTTTGATCAATCTTTGCATTGGTGTTAAAAAGATAATCTTTTTCGAAATGCATTAAGAAATATTTGATGATTTAAAAATTTCAACTTTTTTTGAAAAATGGCGGGAAATTTGAATATTTGAAAAATGAAATGCTCACAACTTTTTTTTCAAAAAATTGTTTTCTTTCAAAAATCTCTAGAATAACTTTTTAAGTCATGACAAATAGTAAATGAATGATAAAAAAATATTTTCAAACTTTAGACGGGGACTTTAAACCAAATTTCGATCTAACTTCTGGTTAGATAGTTATAGCGGTTTGAAGTCTCGAAAAGTCGATATGATGATATCCCCATATTAAGCCAATTGAGAGTCGAAGATAGCCTTCTTAAAAGTTGTCTAAATGTCTATATTCTAGCTGACTCAGCTTATTCTGAATGACTCAGCTTACAAGTTCTGGATGACTCAGCTTAAAAAAAGTTTGAAATCTGGAGTCTTAAATTGAACTTGTTCAATTTACATGTCTAGTTATTATTATTAGACTCCAGATTGAAAATCTGGAGTCTATTGTTTTTGCCTGTTTTCTCATTAGACTCCAGATTGAAAATCTGGAGTCTATTGCTTTTGCCAGTTTTCTTATTATTAGACTCCAGATTGAAAATCTGGAGTCTATTGCTTTTGCCAGTTTTCTTATTATTATTAGACTCCAGATGAAAATCTGGAGTCTATTGCTTTTGCCAGTTTTCTTCATATTATTATTATTAGACTCCAGATTGAAAATCTGGAGTCTATTGCTTTTGCCAGTTTTCTTATTATTATTAGAC